CATGGAACACCGGAGATGGCAAGCCTTTTGTGAACAGATCAGCGAACTGGGAGCTCGATGGAACATGCAACACGCGGACGTCACCGAAAGCAACACGATCGCGAACAAAATGAAGGTCTATCTCGATGTGTTTGGTGCGTTGGTGTTGGACCGGATTACAAGCGAGGTAAGAGGCGCTGATATTGTCACAATAGACGATGGTGGCACGTTGTGGGGGACACTTGAGTTCGTGAAGGAGTTGGCGTAACCAACAAGACTCGGCAACACAGTTTGCAACACCACGATATTCAGCCTCCGCACTAGATCGGGACACGGTGGGCTGTCGCTTGGAGGACCAAGAGACGAGATTTGAGCCAAGGAAGACACAAAACCCAGAAGTGGATTTCCGCGTGTCAGGGCACCCAGCCCAATCCGCGTCTGTGTATGCGATCAAATCCGTGGAGGAGGACTTGAAGAATTGTAACCCATAGTGAGAGGTGCCTTGAAGATAACGAAGAATGCACTTGACGAGCTGCATGTGAGTGTCGCGCGGCTCATGCATAAAGAGGCGGACCTGTTGAATGGCATAGGATATGTCCGGTCGTGTCAATGTGAGATACTATAAGGCACCCGCGAGGCTAAGATAATACGTGGGGCTGGAGAGGAGCCGACCAGAAGAGATGGACAGCTTAGAGCTCGTGTCTATGGGGGTGGAGACAGGCTTACAATGGAGCATGTTTGCACGCTCTAGGATCTCAGGTGTGTATTGTTGCTGACTGAGGAAAAGACCCGAGGAGGTTGGTGTAACGTTAATGCCGAGAAAGTGGTGAAGGGAGCCCATGTCCGTCATGGAGAACTCGGCCTTGAGAGCAGAGATAATGGCGTTGAGGGTTTGGGGAGAGCTGGCTGTCAAGATGATATCATCGACGTACACAAGTAAGTAAGCAATGGACGTGCCACGATGAAGAATGAAAAGGGAGGTGTCACTCTTGGAGCCATGAAACCCAAGGGAAAGAAGAAAGACCTGAAAACGGAGAAACCACGTTCAAGGCGCTTGCTTAAGGCCGTAGAGGGACTTGTGGAGACGGCACACATGATCCGGACGAGAGGAGTCGACAAACCTAGACGGTTGAGAGCAGTAGACGAGCTCGTTGAGATCACCGTGGAGAAAAGCATTCTTGACGTCCAATTGGTGGATTGGCCAAGAGTGAGAGCTGGCAAGACTCAAAACCACGCGGATGGTAGCGGGCTTGACCACCGGGCTAAATGTCTCATCATAGTCGACACCTTCACGTTGTGTGAACCCGCGCACCACCCACCAAGCTTTGTACCGTGCCAAGGAACCGTCCACGTTGAACTTGTGACGATATATCCACTTCCCCGTGACCACATTAACACCTACAGGCTTAGGCACCAAAGACCACGTAGAGTTATTCATTAAAGCAGTGTACTCATCTAGCATAGCTTGTCGCCAATTGGGGTCTTTGAGTGCGGACTTGTATGTGGGCGGAATGGGGGAAATGGAGGTGGAGAAAGTTTCTGCAAGGAAAAGGCGGCGAGGCATGCAAAAACCCGACTTGGCACGAGTGGACATTTTGTGTGCATTTTGTGGTGGTGCAATGGGTACGGCGCGGGGTGGAACGTGATGCGGAGGTGTGCATGGGGGCGATCCCGAGGGAGATTCGGTGGGGCTAGGGACAGACAGGCCCGAGTCGTTGGGTGCAGGGAAGGAGGTAGATGCGGGCGCAGGGGAGTTGGCAGGTGCGGGCGAGGATTAGGTGGAGGTGGACGCGGTCTGGGCGGAAGTGGTGGACCCGCGGGAGCAGCCGGTAGAAGGGGGGCACGTGGTGGAGCCGGACGGGGAGGGCGCGTCGCGACAAGCGCGCGTGGGTGTGCATGGGAAGGTGGGGCCCGAACGTGCGGGATCCGAGGAGGGCGGATCGGGGCCAGCTGATGGCGACGGGTCCAAGGAAACGGTATTGGGTAGGGACCTGGTTGGGGAGATTTGGTGGACGGGATCGTCTGTGGACGTGGGGGTTTGTGGCGATGTGTATGGGAAACAGGTTTCGTCAAAAATGATGTGTCTGGACACAATGACGCGGCGTGACTCCAAGTCGAAGCATCGATACCCCTTGTGCTCGAGGGGATACCCAAGGAAAATGCAGCGGACAGAGTGGGTGAGAGTTTGTGCGGCATGGTGGAGGACGTGTTGGGGAAGCACAAACA